ATTTCTTGCTTAGTTTTATCGATTGCTGAAGCTTGCACTCTTTTTTTACTTAGAAAAATCTATATTTTGTTTTAAGAACTTAAAAAACCCGACCCGACACCACCTGTGATAGAGCCTGAGCCAGTAGCACCAGTAACTGTCACAGTAACCAGAACTGAAACTGTTGAAGTTAAGCAGAACGACGAAACTTTTGTTGAGCAAAATTCTGGTGAGTTTTACCCTGTGCTGAATAAATAGCACCAGTAGCTGGCACCGTATCCAAGATTGAAACTCTTGGAGGCAAACACAACGCGTTTGCTCTATTTTTTTCTTTCAGAAATCACCTCATTTATTCTTGATTCTCCAGCTGGTCCACACAAGTATTCTAAGTTTGACAGTAGTCCAGAGATTGGTGGACCCGATGACCAGACTCCTGAACATAGTGATGGTATTTTAGTTCTCTTATGTTAATAACAAGTATACTCATCCCTTTTTTAGTGGAATACAGTGACGGGGAAGTGTTGATGGAACCAGAAGAGCCGGAGTTCGACCCATCAACTGCCACGTGGGAGACCTTGACAGAAGAGCAAAAGCTACTTCTCTCGCCAGATACAAAGAAACGTTTGGAAGACGAGTATCAAACCCGATTGATAGCACAGTTGCCTATTTATTATGCGTGTAGGTTTGATTTTAAAGGATTCTGAAAATTCGCTGTTACTAGTTTCCTTTTTCCAGCTTTTATGGGTTGTCGCAACGTTGCAGAATTTGATTGTGTGAATAGAGTAGAAGAGGGAACTTTTGGTGTCGTATACCGTGCAAAGAATAAGCGAACAGGTAAATATATAGTATTTATTTGTTTCTTTTTTTTATAAATGGAAATAGCATAATAAGATATTATAAGAAGGGAGGCAAGTGCCCATTTTATTAGGCTTCGCGTTCGTGTAGGTAGCATGCGGCTAAGTCGCATAATTTCAAACCTAGTTGTTTTTTCTATATATGTCAGCAATGTGCATGCTTGATTGCAATTTGCTTACGAGACACTTCCATAGACACAGATAAAATCTACTTTCAAAAAGTCTTTTATTATTATAGTCTTCTTTATGCTTCAAATTCTTTTTCAGAAGTCTTGTCACATCGACCAATATCTTAGTTCCTTTTGCAAATTCTCAACTATTTTTCTATTTGCAGAATTAATCCAATCAATATTTCAACTCCCTCGTCTCTTTTTTTTAAAGTAGATAACCTTTTTTCTAGATTATTTAGGGTGGTCTAAAGATGAAAAGGATATGAGTAGTAAAGGATAATGAAGTGACCCACGCTCACTGTTTCTCTTTTCAGATTTTGATAATTTTAGACGAGATTGTCGCTCTGAAAAGATTGAAAATTGAAAAGGAACGGGAAGGATTCCCAATTACTGCACTTCGTGAGATCAACATGCTGTTAAAGGCTGGAAAACATGAGAATATAGTAAATGTGAGTACTTTTCCATTATAAGTTTATAGTTGTACCGCTTGTCAATGGCCGTATCTTTAGGTCAAAGAAATCTTGATTGGAAGTAATGCGGATAAAATCTATCTTGCTATGGAGTTTGTTGAACATGATATGAAAAATCTCATGGACACAATGCATAAGCGTGGAAAGCGATTTAGTTTTGGTTAGTTCGGTATTTAGTTAGCTCTTATATAGTTGTAATAGTAATTACTGAATTGAGTTGTTTTCAGGGGAGCAGAAGACGCTGATGAGGCAGTTGTTATCGGGATTGAAACATCTTCATGATAACTGGATACTTCATCGTGATTTGAAGACGTCGAATCTTTTGTTTTCTCATAAGGGCATTTTGAAGGTAACTTTTTTTTT